AAAAAAAAAAAAAAAAAAGACTACTGAAGAATGAGCAAACCAAAACAGGCCCAAATAAAGTAATGATAAGAATGGGCACTGTGTTCAAAGGCTAAGTTGGGTGGGAGGTGGCAGAGATGAGCAGACACAGAAGTCAGACAAGACTATCTCCCCTTTCATAGCTTCAGCAGCACCACTCTTTCCTCCTCTCACTTGTCTCTGAAGAGTTTGGTTAATATTCCATCCCACCCAAACTCTGTGTTCCCCAGGGTTCATTCCTCAGCCTCTACTCCTCTATACTTAAGTCCAGAAGAATGTTCCAGACATGCATTCATAACAATTACCACTTACAATGTGTTTGTGTGAGCATATGCGCACCCCCTAAGAGATTTCCTTCCAGCTTCACCCCTCCTGCTTACAGGTAATCACAACAAGAATATTCCACCATTACCCACTTCTCAATACACACAAAAGCAGTGTCATTATCTTGCCACCCTTCCCCCCCAAACTCAAATTATTTATTATTAGTTAATGTAAGATTCCAACCTCAGCCCTTTTATATTTACTGTTCTTGCTACTCTCCTAAGAAATCTGTAAGTTGCCTTAGCTTCTTCCAATGTTCCCTAAATATTACCTCGTCAGGCTGCCTCCGGCCACCTCATTTAAAATCACTACCTCCAACATTTCCTTATTATTTGTTGTTTTACTTTTCTCCTCTGCACTTACATATATAATATGCATTTTACTTAGTTCTCCCTACCCCCAAACATTTCTCTGTAGCTTACTACTATATCCCAGTACCTATAAAGTAACTGTGACTAAAGTGTCTATTAACTCTGCTCCTTTCCTAATATATATTCCTAGGCTTCCTACAGAGCAGCCACTGACAGATAGTACCTCAACAACAAATAAGTACCAACACATTAGTATGAATTTCACAGATCTCTGAACCTAGTTCTATGTCAGTGGGCTTAAAATGCAAAATCCTAAGAAGTCAGTACAGAAAAAAGATGAAATTTTAACTTGGGCCTCCTTGGTGGCCTAGGGGTTAAGTCTCAGCACTACCACCACTACAGCTTGGGTTGTATCCCCGACAGGGAGCTGACCCACACAAGGCAGAGCAGACCTTTCCTGTTAGCCCTGCTGCTCTCCATGGGAGTGTATTTCAAGAGATTTGCCTGTTCTGCTCTCCACTATGTTTTTGGTGAATCCTCTCACCCTCAACATCTCTGGCCTACATCCCTTAAAGAATTTTCAACTTGTTTCCACATAATAAAAATTAAAAGACTGATCACCCCCCTTTGCTTATATCCAGGTCAAACAAACCATCAGTGGCTTCCACCTTCATGTCTAGAAGAAGCAATAGCAGCAGAGATTTACAGAATGCCTACCAGGTACATTTAACAGTAATTCTTACACAACCATAGCTGTAAGGGCAGAAGATTGTTATCTCCCACTTGGCAGATGAAGACAGCGGGGCTTAGACTTGCTCAAGGACCTTATCCAAAGTCTCACTGGTAGGAAATGACAGAGTCGAGATCTGAATTTATATGAACTTTACCCCAAAGCATACTCTTTCCAATATCTATCAGTGCTGCAGCCTTTAGAGGCCAAAAATAATTCTCTTTATTATTTTTGTTACTATGACTCACAAAAGAAAAAGGTATTTTTACTCCAGGGGCCATGGCTATTTTCAAAAGAAGAAAAATGATTTGTGCATCTTCTCTGTGGGTTTCCTGTGAGTGATAGGTACTTATGTCCCCATTCTCCAGGTGCTACCTGGGGACCAGAAAAAGTCTGTTTTACTCTACTGGTAACTTCTTCTCTCCTGGAATTTTCAATAATGACAGCTTTGTCTTTTAACATTGAGCAAATTGTGGACCCATTTCAAGATAATAAAGTATACTGTCAAATAAATATACTATACTAAGGCCCTTCCTGGTGGTGCAATGAGTTAAAGCCCAACAATATGAAGATATCACAGCCACCCCCACCAGAGAGCTGACCCAAATGGCACAGTAGACATCTCCTTGCCCATTTACTGCTCCCCTCAGCAGTGTACACCTGCCTACTCTGCTCCCCACTCTTGTCTCTGGTGAATCCTCTCACGCCCACACCTCTGTTCTGTATGCATAAATAATTTTTTCTTAAAGTAATATACTATGTATGGAAGTTTGAGGGTTTTTTCTACTGACTTCAAAATTTCTCACTTTGACAACAATTAGCAGTTTTCACAATGAGACACATATGTTTTATACACATATCACAGGCTATAAGGGACTCTAAAAAAATCCTCTCTACCGATAGATGAAGAAACTGAGGCCAGGCCATAGTTAACAGATTTGGGGGTGGGTTATGGCTATAGTTTAAGCTTCTTAAGGCTCTCCAAGTCAATCAGCTCAAGAGCACGTCACTACTGCTCTCAAGAGAAAAATGGAAACAAGAAAAAGTATACCTTACTCTTAAGGATATTTTAACATCTAACAGCACTTAGCAGAGACATTTCTTAAGATGTTTGAAAGAGCACTTTACTTATTAAAACTT